AAATTCCCAGCTTTGTATACTGGACTTGGTACATTCCCAGACGCTTCGCTGGCCTCGTAGTCGTCAAAAGTAAAATCAAGCCCTTGATTTGGAATATTAAAAAAATTCCAGAATATGGCCGACAAGAAATCACGTGGGATGAGTTTTAATGCACTAGAAAAAAGCTGCGAACCAAATATGCTAAAAGCCCTGCTGTAAATCTTGGTCCGAGAAGAGGATATCTAGAAACAGAGGATCAGGAGAGAGTCGTTAACACGACTGAACATCTTGAAAATAGGTACTACCTATTTCACACTTGACGCCAACATATATGAACAATTAATTTGACTTTCTATGGGACTGACGGTCTTACCTCTATTGGCAAATGTATACAAGAACAAAGTAAAAGAGCATTTCAAGACGTCCTCGATACAACCATGAGTGCTTAAGCGATACTTGGATTACTACTTCGCATTGCGGCTGCATGGAAGAGACAAAGTAGACGATTATCTGAAGTTTACTTATCACATTGATGTAAAGATAAAGTTTTACATCACCTTTCCTGGATGTCAAAGTAATTTGCTAAATTAAGGCGCTTAAGAGAAAATTGTTTATAAAGAATTAATATGCTTGAATGATGCTGAATTTCAAGTCTTATCACAACTACAGATCGAAGAGCGCAATTCCGAAGAGCATGAACATCAAAAACCTACGCCTAACAGAGATGGAATTGTGAAATGAAGAATATGAAAAGTTGACTCAGATATGCTTCGGCAGCAGATACTCGAGAGAAATAATGCAATGAAAGCTGATGGCCGTAAAGAGCCGTTGGCAGAACGGGGACTATAAAAGGATGGAGAAAGACTCCAAAAAGTTGATAGGGCCAACTTTCTGCAAACTGGCTCAAAAACTACGGCCAATATTAACAAAATGGAATATTTAGGTGGTAACCAAGGCGAAAAAACAACACTCTTCGTAAGTGTGGACAAATAGGAGTGTGGGGACTATAAACAGAAATATATTGGCGAAATAGGGAGAAAAAGCAGCATACGAATCAAGGAACCTCAAAGAATCTGCAGAAAAATGGATACATAAAGATCAGAAATGTCGGCAAACATAGCACAGACTGGACATGAGATCATTTGGAGGGCAAAAAAAGACACAAGGAAACGGAAGATTATGGAGGCCATTGACACCCTTGCGAAAAGAAAGTTAGTTGCCAAGAGATTAGAAGAAGACAGAATTGGCGATAACTCTGCCCATTGCTTAAATAAACTAGGAGAAAACAAAGATACGGCAAGACCAGTATCAAAGAACTATCGTTAAATAGAAGAAAGTGATCGCAAAGAAGAAGCGGTCGAGGAGGGGCAATCTGCCCAAAGAAACAATCATAACTTTGGTGGCCTAGTCGTCACGGCAATAGGGAGATGGATGCTCCCCATCGTCACAATAAATCGACATTAAGTTTAATTTATGAATATTTCATCATCTTAAACGAAATAGGGTGAACACAACTCATGTATCTGATTTATTGGTAGTCTCGAAAACCGACTCCCTAAATAAATCAGTCATCCAGAAGATAAGAAACGAACCTCTGGAACCATGAGGGAAATTGGGACGGGAGGTGGGCTACCAGGACAGCAAGAGGATTTATCGCATGAGCAATCGGAAAAAAAGTAGGTCAAATGATTTACTTCACTTGTTTCTTTGCAACATTTAGCTTGTTGCTAAGACTAGCAAGGCTCACTGATGATGTCTGCGAAACGCCTGGGAATATATCAAGTCCCCGGTCCAATGCTGTGAATTATCATAACCCATCTGACAGAGGATTTCGGACAAAGAAGTCGCTCTGACAACACGAACAAGTTGTTGAGAAAACGGTGTCAGAGCACTGGTAAACATGGAAAATATACTGCGACCAAAACAGAGGACAAAACACCTGCTTCCGGTAGATACAAAAAAGTATCTAACGTATCACAAAATTATCAATTACTGCAGATGTCCCAGTACTTTCCTTTCTTTTATTCATATATTCTGGCATTTTTATATTCACAATAAATTAAGGCCTCGAGATAAATGGTTTCAATTTCTCCAAATATTTTACGCTTTGCTGCCATCCTGTCTTAGTGAAGTCTATACAAAATGCTGAGAGATATTTATTATAACTTTGAGGCTAATTTGACTAATATTTAACAAGACCTTTTATGAAATTATTCCTATTTAAAATGTTTTGCAAGTTATTAATTCATAGATTAATTTTGATAAAAGGCTTAATCGTGCATAGGGTTTCCTTCTCTTTAGAATGCCCTAGAAACATTAAGTTGCAGTCCATCATTATCACAGAACTGCGGCTATATATTGACGGTATAAAACATCTCCAACCACCTTTAGCCAGCTGATTTAAGGCTCTAAAAGATTCATAAGTTAAGAAAAATCCATGCGCATCCACTTGAATAGGGATGAAGATGCGCGATATGTTTGTTTTTAAAGATTGATTGACCAAGATGATGTGATCTTTAGTACGATGGCAGTCTCTTTTCGATGTGTACAAATGGGTTGACTTCGTTTACACAAATTGGTTGTGTTGCCAGGGCGACTTAATTGTACGTACCTTGTCCGAAGTACCCTGCTATAGTGGTCATCATAGTTCCCAGCATCGGAGCATGGACTTTATACATTCTCTGACGTTTCGCCAGCATCGTGACCGGCGTCATTAGTACGCCAAACTACACTTTTTCAAAGAGACAAGTGAAGTCAATCTCTTTACCAAACTTTCTTCTGAAAAGATTGTGCTATTACTGCCCATATCTACTCTACGGGGGTGGGATAAGAGGATAAAGACTCACTGAAGAGGCGATCCGATACTGGGAAATATGATAAACATTATAGCAGAAGCGCTGACAACACGATCCTTGAAAGTTATGTTAGTGCGTCAAACTAATGAAGATAATACCAACTGGCTGCGCATCTTGAGAGGGGAAAAGAAAAGTTACGATGAAAACGGTGTCTTACCTGCTGATGTCGAGATTTGTATCAGCACCATCAGCGCCTGTGGAAAGGTTTCGAAATTGAAATCAGCATCTATCCCCGCATGGTATGACAGCTCACCGAAGAATGACATGCCAACGATGGCATAGATGAAGATAACGAGGAAAAGAAGGAGGCCAATATTGAATAGAGCCGGCAGAGAGACGATCAGTGCGAAGAGTAGAGTCCGAATACCGACTGCTGACTTGACGAGGCGAAGGACTCGGCCTATTCGAAAGACGCGGATCACTCGGATGACTGTCGGTGAGACTGGCAGCGCGCTGATCATGTGTTCGATGCCCCAGCCTGTTGTTTGCGATGATATTTACATATTTGCATTCGCGAAATGAAGAAAAAAAGCGATACATTTCGCCTGACGAAAAGTGGGTTCAGAACAATTGTGAAATGAATTCGCAGTTCATGCGAAAAGTTGGTTGGAATGAAATCATGAAATGATGTCACCGGAAACCGAAAGAGGACTGCCCGACAATCCTTCTTCGGTTTTCCGTGAGACCAGTTCACCAATTCCTTACAACCAACTTTTTCTTCGAAATGGAAATGATTCTGGAGAAATTATGCAAGCTAGAAAGAGCACAGTCGGTGGCGCAGTACCACATCCAGAGCCCCCTTAAAACGTTTGAATGTGAGGGTTTTCTCTGTTTGTGATCAAGTTATTACCACTCGGGGGTGATGGACCTAAAAATGACTCATGGAAACTTAAATATATTCTAAAATAAATTCATCTAAAAAATAAATGGTATCAAAATTATCAAAAATATACAACTTCTCCAAAGAGTAATAGTAAATTAAAATGCATGGCTTTAGTAGAAGACTCTATCATTTCGACAATCTTTTGATCCATAACACCAATACCTTGAACATTGCTTTCTTTTGTCCACAGGTAGACTGAACTTACAAGGCAATAGTGGTGCCCTTT